ACTGACAGAGCAACTCCAGTGGAGAAAACCTTCAGATGACACACAGCTCATTCAGTGAATTACTAAAATCGAAACTACACAGGCAAACCCACAACACACTGTAGAGAAGCGCTTGTGCAGTGTAGGAGACCTCTCTCCAAATGTCGGGCGTGAGACAACTAGTTGTTCAGTCCGTTTCCTTTCACACATCGCGGGTTTTCCGAGTCCTGAAAATGTACGGGTGTGAGTTCGGTTATGGAGTGCGGTTGTCACTCCTGTAAATAACTGAACCGTGTGTGAACGTAACCATTTTAAGGACTCAAATACAGGACGTGTTTTGCTTGTAAAGTGATATTTTATCTAATGCAAGTGTGTTGTAAGTATGCTTTACTTTTCGGGGCTACTGTATGAGAAGAAGCCACACAATCTGATATTTACTGTATATCTCTGTCCTCTTTTCAGTTCTTTAGTGAATATGAGAAACTGCTTCACTCGGAAAACTATGTGACTAAGAGGCAGTCGCTAAAGGTAAGGAACGGGTTGATTTGTATGTTGTGCTTATTAAAACTACTGTCTTTTTACATCAAAGAAGAGTAATATTGTGAAATATTTTTACAATTTAAATCAACTGCTTTCTGTTGGAATATATTTGAAAATGTAATTTATTCATGTGATGCAAAGCTGAATTTTCAGCGTCATTACTCCAGTCTTCAGTGTCACATGATCCTTTATAAAACTCTTCTTTTTTTCAGTATTTTTTGAGTAGAAAGTAAACAAAAAACAGATTTTATTGTACTTTTTTGTAACATTATAAATGTCTTTACTTTTCATCAATTTAATGTGTCCTTGCTAAATAAAATAAACAATTTCTTAATCATTTTGCTCACAAATCTGTGAACAGTAGTGTATATCTAGTGTATGTATATCTAGTGTAGTGTATGTTGTATTATTGTTCTGCTTTATAATGCATTGACCCTCTGATGGTCTTCGTTTGGGAATCACTCGTGTGGTCTTTGGGGTCTATTGGACCCCAGTCAATAACATTTAATTTTGTAACAGAATAGTATTTTATTTTATTTTTTTTTACAAATATAATTGATTTGGTTTATTAATGTTTTTACTCAACATTTGTGCAGTTTTTGGATGATTTATGATATCTTTTAAATTTCTATAAATAAATATTTATTTATTTAAATGTCTTTTTTCCAAAAAAAAAAAACCAGCATTTTATGTAAAATTCAATTTATAAAAGACCCATATTTCAAAATTTCATTCATGTGGATAACATGGATCATTTTACATGGTTTAATGTAAGATTTCTATCTATTTTTTGGACCCAAAAAAAAAAAATCACTTTTAACCACTGCATGACCATAGAGCTCCACTATATGCTATTTGCTATTTTACTAACCAAAGGTATCTTTTCACAAGTTGGATTCAGTTGGATTCATATCTAAATATTATAAAATCACAATTATAACAAAAATAAAATACTTTTTGTTAGGGATGCACCAATTTTGGCCGATACCGATAACCGATAATTCTTTCGATATATCGGCCGATAAAGTTAAATCCAAATTTTTACCTAATTTTGAGAGCCTGATTACAAAAACAAAAGTCTCACAATTAAATCCATGTCCCAAGCGCACGACTATAATGATGTTCTCATTATAGTGTTGTATAGACGATATGACAGATTTGCGCTGCACATGTTGTACCGAACCGTATTTTAATTTTTTGAAGAGATTTCAATCATATTTCAAGAAATTCAAAAACAAACAGTGCTCAATAAGTGTCTCAGCTGAAGGGAAAAAATACATTATTTATCGACTTTAATATATCGGCCACATTTTATTACCAGGCCGATAACGATAACATTAAAAATGAACATATATCGGCCGATACCGATATGCTGGCCGATCCCTACTTTTTGTCAAAGTTTAGCATTTTTTGTACTGAACAGAGGGTTAAAACTCAAGTGTGCGCATGTTTACTGTAGTCATTATATCTGTATTTTATAGTGCTTCTGTTGTGTTTTATACATTTCCTCTTCCTCTCAGCTTTTGGGAGAGCTGCTGTTGGACAGACACAACTTCACTATAATGACGAAGTACATTAGCAAACCAGAGAACCTCAAACTCATGATGAACCTACTGAGAGACAAGAGCCGCAACATCCAGTTTGAGGCTTTCCATGTGTTCAAGGTTTGAATCTATTAATTATTATTTCACCAATTCGCCAACACCCAAAACACATCTCAAGCAAGTTGACAAAGTCTTTCTCTGTGCACTCAGGTGTTTGTGGCCAATCCGAACAAGACGCAGCCCATCCTCGACATCCTCCTGAAGAACCAGACCAAACTCATCGAGTTCCTCAGCAAGTTCCAGAACGACCGAGCCGAGGACGAGCAGTTCAGCGACGAGAAGACCTATCTAATCAAACAGATCCGAGACCTCAAGAGGCCGACCCCGCAGGACGCTTGAGAAGGATGACCGATGGTTCAAAGTGCAAAGAGGACGTCTAGACAGTGTTTTAGGCAGCGTCTGGACGATGTTTGGCTCTCTGGGACGTTGAGTGGCCGTGGCACTGGGCATGTTTTTGTGTTTTGCAGGAACCGTCAAATGCCGTTTGAGCTCGGTGGGGCGACTTACATGGCGACGAGGATGAAGAAGAGTCTCGCTTCGCTGGACATACAACCTCTTCCCCTTACAATGTTTTATTCTCATTTAAAAAAAAAAAACGAGCAAAATGAACAGAAAGGATGGATGTAGATGCTGCTGCTTTATTGCACATAAAGAAGAGGAGGGTTTTGTAGCTCACACACAACCATACACTCAAATGTCTCTCGATGCTAATTAGTCCATTTAAGTTGAGGATATTCTTATTGACATGCATAAAGCACTCAAACACACTCCTGTCGACTCATTTGCTCACCCTCGCCCGGGGAGTTGCATTAAAGCTACAAATGTGATGCATCAACATGTTTTGCACATTTTGAGGTTGCGTATCCTGGGCGAATAAATGTGTAGGCCCTACATATACTGTATGCTTTCTTATCTTCCCTTTTGTTTTAGCTTTTAGACATCATTGGATGTGCGACTGCACCTCACAGCCTCTATAGCGGTTTATGGTTGTTTCAGATTCATTTTGAAAGTCATATGGAAAGGAGTAAAGGCGAGTTAGTTGTGGCTGCGCTGTCGATTCTGATTTAACCATTCCTTGCTTATTGTATTAGTCACTGCGCTAAGTGGGAGTAATGGAAAGTTAACTTGAAATCTGAAAGCTTTCTTGTGGCCGTGACATTAAGATTTGTGTCCTGCTTAGTCTTGTTTTCAGAGAAACTAAACCCCCACTGGCATAGTGTGTACATTTACATTTGTGTTAACTAGGGCAGTGCTTTTGATCATTTGGTGAGTGCATGAGAGAATCTCACAAAAAAAAATCACATTTAACCTCAAAATCAAAAGGAAAATAATATGTTGAGACTAAAAAGCATCTGGTCTTAATTAATTGTAGCCTATTTTAATTTTAAATTGTGTAATTTTCATAATTGTCAATTTTTCAATTGTCAATATTTTTAGAGACAAGTAAAAATGAGAAGTATTTAGTACAACAAGTATTAATGACAGTAAAATATATATAATTCTCATAATTGGACAAATCTTTAATAGTCCAATAGCCTTACACAAACTACAATCTATAATTTCCTATGTCTTGCTTTTGAGTTTGAGGTGAAATGTGACCTGGACAAGTTATTTTCTGGTTTTGTATAATTTGACTAAATGCACCGGCTGTTTTTAGTTTGGGAAAAAATAAATGTGATATTATTTGCAGCTGACTAATCTGAAACGGTTGGATGTAAAGGAGCCGCTTTGAGCACCCACATCCTTGTTGTAGTAACAGTGCGGAGGTTGATGAGAGTTGTTGTTTAATACTTTAAAGTTGGTGCAAGTCTGCAAAACTACACAAACTTTAAAGGGATTTGGAGGGTTTTGGTTGATCATTTTCAAGTTGTGATTGCGTTTACTCACAAGATAGCCATAAATCCTTCATTTCCCCCTTAAACAAATGCAACTGTAATTCATAATGGCATCCCTACTCATTTTCAATGCAGAACTCCCATTAAAACATGTTCTGTCGAATGTTTACAGTACTGGTCAGAATAACAGGGATTGACATGTCTATAACAGTATTTTATTTCAGTGGGAAATACAATAAACCTTACGGAGAATTAAAGATGCACATTTTTCATATATCAGTCTGAGGACATCCTGTTTAATTGGTGACGGGCGGGGCAACTCACCGTCATTTGTGGTTCAGATTGGACTAGTTTTCCTTGGTTGGCACAATTTAACAACAGCTAATCACAGTCATCTTGTAAGCGTGACATTATAATGGCCCAAATCATTAAGATATCTGATAACTAGTAAACTTATCTTGCATCAGTGCATGTTTCTGTTTTGCAGCCTTAGATTAAGCATGGGCATCTAAAGAACAAGCTGAAAACTTCTTGGCCTGCTCTCTGGTCAATTAAACAGTCCAATCTAACCTTTATAGATCTGGCCCGAGTAATAAGACTTGGGGAACCTGGAGTTTCATCTGTCAATCCTTAGACAGACTAACAGTTGGAAATAAAGTTTAAACTAAAATACAAGTGTTTACTGTCTTTTGTTCTTTGATTAAAAATCCTCGGATATTCAACGAACTTACAACCCTGTTTTAGTAATGCCATACATTAGCCTATATTATATTATATTATATTAGCCTGATATATTAACTCTGGAATAACTTAACATTCTGGCTCCTTGTCTGTAGTCAGATTGATAGATAAAGACGTATTGTTATGATTTTTGAACGTTAATAGTCATCCTCGGTCATTATCATTAGTATTAGGCATTTTTATATGGCATTTATGCAAACACCACAGTATTAACATCAGATAGATAGATAGATAGATAGATAAAACTGTATATTTAATAAATAAATACATCGTACACAGACAGACATGTATACAAAACGTGCGCGCGCTTGCTCCTCCTGGGTCACGCGCATCATCACCAGTGTCGCTAACACTGTGACTTTAAGAACGATTCTTTGATAGAGAGAAACATATAATTATAATAGATTCTTCCGGTCTATTAAAACGGCGAATACCGTGTCACAACAAAGCCAGGGGACAAAGGATCTGCGTGCTCGCTAAGAACAGCGTTATTATTTTCTCCCTGCAACATGGTGAAGATCAGCTTTCAGCCCATCACAGGACAAAAAGCCGAGAAAGAGGAGGGAGATGGAGATAAAACTCAAATATTCATACCGCATCCACACGTAAGTTTCGCTTTTTGTGTGCATCATCCGAAATGTCACGGAAAACAGCGCTTCAAAGTAACCAAAAGCCGGAAAAGAAAAGAACATCCCTCATAAACCACCAATCACGTCATTTGGTGGAGCAAAATGATCTAATGATAATGCTCTATCAACACGCCACGCGTGTATATATTTGTAGCTGTTTTTCATATAAATATTGTTGCCCTTTGGTTTCATAACAAGATCATGGATGCTGCAGCACCTGCACCAATAACATCACATCATGCATTCATCACATCCATCTCTGCTATAAAATGTGCACTTTATATACTTGTGCACTCCATATGTGTGCATTATTGTGATGTTTTTCTTTAAATACAATTGCTCTTCTTTAATAATTTAACCAAGTGATGGGGTAAACATGTTGATAAAATACATATAAAATAGCTTAAACCTTTTGCTTTTCGTTTTAAAAGATATTATCTGTAATATAGGCTATGGGTTGTTATTGTCAGATGTTAAGGCCTTATTCTTAAGAGCTTATAATGGCAGGGACTGAAATTTGACACAGTGCAGCACAGGTTTATGTCTATGCAACACACACACACAAATCCAACAGAGACAAAATGGCAGATGGCTACGGTGTGGGGAAATGACTTTGGAGAGCTTTAGCTGTTTAATATCGCTCCTTTACTCAAAGGGATACATGTATGTGTTCGCTGTCTTTATAGGCCAAATGGTCTCCCCATGATGAAAACAATGTCATTTCTGAGCCACTAAATATAGTCTATATGTACAATACCATACAGAAAACATGTCAAATATGAATAACCAGCTAACAGGGAGCATTCTCTTTAGTAACAAAATCTTAGTGGACGCTTTGCTATCCCGTAAAACCATGGGAGCTGAAAAATAAAAAAACACACTTCACTTTAAATAATTTTTTTTTTTTTTTAAACACTGATTGTGTTGGGTTTTAAATATTTCCATCATAATAGTAACCAAATGTGCGTGTGTAAGTTAAGAATGAGGCCAGCTCAGGTCATGTGCCGTGCAGTTTGGCAGATGGGTTGCAAGACTGGGGGCGTTATTAGTCATTGGCATCGCACATCTAATAATTTCCTTCTGTAGTACGAGAGAGCACTGACTAATCCATTCTGCATGATACAAGTGAGTGTAGTGCCGATTGTAGCACGTCTCCCAGCGTGTGGGTGATCGTATTGAAAGTGGCACAGTATTTTGAGGACATGATTAATTTATTCCTGCAATGTGTGATTGGGTCTTGCCATCTTGATGAGGACCAAGTGTCCTCATATAGCATAGTAGGCTGCAACCTGAAATGAGCTACTTTATGGGTTATATTATATGCTTTATTTAAAGGAGTAGTTCACTTAAAAAAAAAAAATTGCTGATAATTTACTCACCCCCATGTCATCCAAGATCATCTTTCTTCAGTCGAAAAGAAATTAAGGTTTTTGATGGAAACATTCCAGGATTTACTCCATATAAGTCCATTATATGGAGAAAATCCTGGAATATTTTTCTAATTTCTAATTCATTGGGAACCAAACAGTCCAAGGTCCAAATGAGAGTTTCAGTGCAGGAGAGTCACGAACGCTCATCACAGAACAGAGCAAGGTGAGCATTTGTGCTTATAAAACTTAAACTTTTTTTTATTTATTTTTGAATGGACCGTTCCAAAAATACGATCGTTTCACTAGATAAGACCCTTATTCATTGTCTGGTGTCGTTTAAAGCCCTTTGAAACTCTCATTTGGACCTTGAACCGTTTGGTGCCCAATGAAGTCCATTATATGGCGAAAAATCTTGGATTGTTTTCATCAAAAACCTTATTTATTTTTTTCGACTGAAGAAAGAAAGACATGGGCATCTTGGATGACATGGGGGTGAGTGAATTATCAGCAAAAGTTTTTTTTTTTTTTAAAGTGAACTACACCTTTAAGGGAAATAAAGACCAAAATGTTATAAAATGTCTGTGTTTGTAGGTGGAAGAAGAGCTGGTGTTGCCTGTCGGACGGAAACGCTCCTCTCTGAGTGGACTTTGCTGTCTGACGACCGCACTGATTGTCTTCACCTGCAGTTTGATATATGCTTCAATATATATCTACCGTTACTACATCATTCCTCAGGTAGCACACAAGTGGCATAAAACTAAAAATAATTAATAGATAATTTAGATGATAAGCGGCAGATTCCAGTAGTGCCAATTGATTCTTTTTGGCCAGAGGTTATGTTTTATGTTCTGGTGTTATTAGGTGTGTTTGACTTGAAGTGGCGCTGTGCAGACCGATCGGTCTATGACATCAAAGTACAGCGCGATCGATTAGATACGTTTCTGTACGCTTCAAATCGCTCTCGCAGTACCAATGATGTCATACACCGATCGGCCTGTGCCGAATTGAACACATCCAATATTTCATTGACAGTTGCGATTCATTCCTGAAAGAATCAGTGTTTTGAAAAGAATCAGTTGAACGAATGGCTCGATGATAAGTTTGTTGCCACCTACTGGTGGAAAGATATCGATGTACCCTGTAGAAAGATCCCTGAAAGACGTATCAGAGTACAGGAAAAATACTTTTTATGTCATAATTTCGATTTTTCATTTCGTAAACATGACTAAGTTATGATTTCGACTTTCGTTATGATTGACAAAAGCATTGCTAAAAGTGGCGCATAGTGAAGATCTAATTGTGGATTTAAGGGATTGAGATCGCAATTAGGATAATATAAAATCGTTTTCCAAACCCTGTTTGATGGAAAGATGCACTGATGTATCAGCTGCCAATATTTATTGGCCGATTTTTTTATATATTTTAAACCACAGGCATATTGGCTATAGCATGAAAAAGGCTGAAACCGATGGTTTAATAACTGCGTGAGTTGCATAATTAAACTTTTTCCTGGTAAAATTGCTAAAACAAAATGGAATCTGTACAAAATACAGCAGGGCTCGACAATAAGGACTGACTGGTGACAGCATGAACAACACGCTTGGGGAAATTGACGGAACTGTGTTGCATATTCATGAAAGTTTATCATCTTAACATGCGAATTTAAATAATAAAGCACAAGAAGACGTGAAAGAGAACTCAGTTCTACTCACTGAAGTTGTGTGCTCACACATCCACAGCCAGCCATTATTTTAGACAGCGCAAAAATACTGAATTGAGTTATCTTACACTTCTAATTAACTCAAAATTATATCAAAACGCCCATCTTGGCGAGTGTCCTTATAAACATTGTCAGTTATGTCTTAAATTAACATAAACATTTGAGAAATAATAGTGTACCAGTACATTGGATCTTTGCAGCTCTTAAAGTGGCAGCCTAATATTCCTGTTTTAATGTTTCTCAAACAACTAATGACTAAAAAAATCACTCACTACTCTTGACTAAGTACCTAGTCAAGAGTAGTGAGTGATTTTTTTTTCTTGTCCAACACATACATACACATGTATAGAAGTATATATATAAGGATACATACATATTTCATTTATACAATGAAAAATATATTTTACATGTGATTTACTTTATTTTTCAACCTGAAAAATACTTAGATCTACTTGAAAAGCACTGTTTATTTCATTTGTATCTTTGTTCTGTAGTATTGATGTATTTATGTTTGCCTGTAGAATTTTACTAGAAATCATCTGATGATGCAAAAATAAACTACTGTAGCTAGTATACTTTAATGCATGTTTTTTTTGGACTTTTCTAATTTAAAAAATGATCAAAACTCTAATTTATTTTAATGGAAAAAAGTTTCATTGTGTTAAATTCCTTGTGTTAAAAGATATCAGTCCTAAGATCAAAACAGTACTATAACACAACTTTATTTATGTATGTTAAATGATTCAGGTTCCGGATCAGAGCCGGTTCCACTGCCGTGTTGTGTACGAGGACTCGGTGGCCGCTCCACTGCGAGGCTCTCAGGAGCTGGAGGAGAACGTGGGGATCTATCTGAAGGAAAACTACGAGCAAATCAGCGTGCCTGTGCCCGACTTCAGCAACACAGACCCCGCTGATATCATTCACGATTTCCACAGGGTAACACACTTCAAAACAGATCACACACTGTCAGTTACACATGACTTGGTCTCCATTATGCGTTTACAGAGCACGTTTTCACATTATTGTTTACATTTGTCTTTTTAGAGCTGCTTTACAGTGTAAAAATTCACACTTTGCAGTCACGTGACAACCATTGATATCTGGCGGGCAAAAAACGCTTACAAAACAGTGGCCAGTCAGGGGAATTGCAGCCTTGCAAATTTCCAATACTACAATCAATTAACTATTTAGACCGTATGTCACCGAATGTTAAAATTAGATATCAAGAAACGATTTACATACTCGGATCGTGTGATCCATACACAGCACCCGTTGATGTTTTCACTGCTTTGAAGCTGGCAAAGTCTCTACCAGACTTGGAGTTTGGAGATATTTACATAAGTTATATCCGTCACCTTACACCGCACAAAAAAATGAATTAAGGATTGAGGAAGTGGCATGTCTCTATATAAATAGTCTCTGATTTCGTTTCCAGAGAACGACGTTCTTGCCCGCCAGCCACTACTTGTGACGTCACGTGCAAAGTATGAATTGAACTCTGTTTGCATCATTGAATCATTATTTTCCCGTTTATTAAAACAATCTGAATTGTTTAAAGTGATATATAAATAAAGATGACTTGAGTTGAGTTTTATCTGAATTATGTGATGTGTTTGGGTTTTTTAGGGTCTGACGGCCTACCATGACATTGCCTTGGACAAGTGTTATGTCATCGAGCTCAACACCAGTGTGGTAATGCCTCCGCGTAACCTCTGGGAACTGCTCATCAACGTCAAGGTGCTTGTATCGTTTGTGTGTAGTGGCAGTTTTGAAATATGAATCTACTTGATGTTGTCTTTCTATCTTTTTGCAGAAGGGGACTTACCTCCCCCAGACATACATTGTCCAGGAAGAGATGGTCGTGGCTGGACGTGTTAATAATATGCATCAGCTCGGCCGTTTTATTTACCGTCTGTGTAACGGTAAAGACACGTACAGGCTCCGTCGCCGCAACTCACGCCGTCGTAAGTTGACAAATGTTTGTCTTTTTTCCTAAGTGTGTATGGTAGTGGTCGACTGATATGGTTTAGTCAATGTTGACATTTACGAATCCAATTTGGCAATGCCAACTTACGGCCAAACTAATTGTTCATCTTCTTGGTGGGAGGAAACTGTGCTCCGGTGTGGCTTCACAGCTGCCATGCAAATCTGATTGACGTCCAGCTTAATAGCTCATTGCAGCTAATTAGCGGAACAATTAAGTAACACCCACGTTATGGCTTCCTCTATTAAGCAATCTATTTCTCCCTGGTTCCTGGAGATCCAAGGCTTTTTTGTTGGAATATAATATGATAATATCCATGACAACCACAAGTTTTGGGAAAACTGTGACTATTTCAAGGAAGGAGGCCATCTGCGTTTGAACGGATCAAGCTATTATGATCCGTGAATATTTTATATTGTGTTACTTCTGTTTACCATATTTTGAAATTCATGTACAGTTCTTGTACACAGAATCCCAGCTAACAGGGAATGTTTCACAATCTCACATAATGTTCAAGCAAACATTCTCCTAGTATCGTTAATTGACCGTTCGGTTGCCTTATTTGACGCTTTCAATGTCTGACAGTTATCCGGTCTGCAATGATGTTCTCAAAACATTAGCACAGAAACGTCATTTATACATCATTCATGAAACTTTTTTAAACGAAATGGTCGCCCAATGTTTCCAGAACATTCATAAGAAGCATTCCCGTGGTATGTGTAAAATTATCAAATTAAATCGCTATGCACCATTATGAATGCCTATGTGTGCGGCAATGTGAGACAATGGCATGCACACACGCAGCTTTCTTCTCGAAATGTTTTGACTTTATTTTCGAAACGTTTCAAGTTTAATCTCAAAACGTTTTGACTTTAATCTAAAAAAAAATCTAGCATTTCGAGATTTAAGTCGAAACGTTTCGACTTTAATCTCGAAACGTTTCGACTTTAATCTAAAAAAAATAAAAAATCTAGCATTCCCGAGATTTAAGTCGAAATGTTTCGACTTTCTTCTCGAAATGTTTTGACTTTATTCTCGAAACGTTTCGACTTTAATCTCAAAACGATTTGACTTCAATCTAAAAAAAATTTAAAAAAAATCTAGCATTTCGAGATTTAAGTCGAAACGTTTCGACTTTAATCTCGAAACATTTAGACTTTAATCTAAAAAAAATGTAAAAAAAAATCTAGCATTTCGAGATTTAAGTCGAAACATTTCGACTTTAATCTCGAAACGTTTCGACTTTAATCTAAAAAAATAAAAAATCTAGCATTTCGAGATTTAAGTCGAAATGTTTCGACTTTCTTCTCGAAATGTTTTGACTTTATTCTCGAAACGTTTCGACTTTAATCTCGAAACGTTTCGACTTTAATATAAAAAATTTTTTTTTTTAAATCTAGCATTTCGAGATTTAAGTCGAAATGTTTCGACTTTCATCTCGAAATGCTAGATTTTTTTTTTTACATTTTTTTTTTTTTTTTTTTTTTTTTTTTTTTTACGTTGCGGTTCAGGGCTTCCATAGATTTGTTACTGAAATTCTTCAAAAATATCTTCTTTTGTGTTCAGCAGAAGAAAGGAATCCATACGGAATTAAAGGAATCCATCCATGATTCTACATCTTTAGCAAAGTGTTCTTAGAACATATTTTTGTTAGCTGGGATACTAATCCATACGTTAAGTAAATAATAGTGTAACAAGTATGTAAGATATTTCTTAAAGCCCCCTTGTAGTCAATAATTGTATCCCTTAAAACCCATCGTTTGATCTTCAAAATGACTTATTTAAAAAAAAAAAAAAAAAAATCATGCCTTAAAATGGCTGGAATGTAGTATACGCGGTTATATGAATATGCAAAGGAGCCCCGCCTTCACTCACTCACACCAGTTCAGAGATCCACTCGTTGACGATCACTCGTTGACCTGATTGGTTACAAGGTAGTTTGTGATGTCAGAAACACCAGTAATTTCAAACTGTCTTTGGTTCACTGCAGTTTTAAGGAGAAAATACTTTAGCAATGGGGTTGACTAATGAATTTGCACATGGTTTGTCTTAAAGCACAATAAAACTTTAATGCAAGTAACTCATAACTATTTTTTGTTTTGTTTACAACATTTTCGTTTTCTTCCCATTAGGTATCACCAAGCGTGATGCGCAGAACTGTCACCGAATCCGCCACTTCGAGAACACGTTCGTGGTGGAGACAGTGATTTGTGAGACCCCATAGGCTGCTTGCCTCGTTGCCCCGCCCATTTCTGATGAGATCACATCCGTTGTTCTCGGTAGCCACACCCCTTTGAAAATCACACTCTTTACCTCTTATCCCTCATGTCTTTAAAGCCCATTTCTCTCTCTCTTTTTGTACTTCTCTCTCTAGTAATGTGTATCATGACAAATGTTCCCTTGAAGTTATCTGAACAGTTTGTTTCTGCATATTTGCAATAATGAGCATTTTCAACTTGATGCATTTAAAAATGTAACAGTAGCATCTGAAGTCTTAAAATGAGAAGAACACATGGGCATTAAGCTGCACAATGCCTGCATGCTTGTACCTGCGTGTGACTGGCTGTTTGTGCTGCATCAAACTCTCTTATATATTTGCGTGTTTTTAGATCTATTCTTCTCAGTCATGGATAGGGATGCATCGAAATATTGGCCAAAATGCCATACAGTGAAGAGAAAACTGGCCAAAAATATTCACAGAAAGCATTACTCTAACATCCGATCTTTAATGTAGCTTAATGTACACTACCAAAAAGATTTTCTTGGTATTTTTTTTCTCATTTTCCATCAAATATATATCTTATATATCTTAAGTCTCTTGCGAAGATATTAAGTCTTATTTTCTGGGAAAAAAATATGTGATTGGGGTGAGAAAAATAATATTGTTTTCCTTATAGTTAAGTTTATATTTCTGATCCCATTGACATATGATTTTCTTATTCTAAACAAAATTGCTTCATTTTTGGTATATTTTTCAGAAAGCAAGACTTAATATCTTTGGTCATTTCGATTTGATTCAAGAATGTTTAGATATTTTGTACTGTAGATTAAATTTTGTTTAGTGCAGATTAGAGCCAGGCCGATATTATCGGCCGATATTAGGCATTTTCCAAACTATCGGTATCGGCATTTATAATGGCCGATAAATGAATATTTTAAAAATAAAATAAAAATGGCCGAAAGACGCTTCAACCATGCATTATCATATTTTTTTTTTAGTTAAAACTCATAAATAACTAATGTTAGGGAAATCTGTTAGTGTTTTGTTGCACATTGCTGAAAAAAACAACAACTATATATATATATATATATATATCGGACGATATATCGGAATATCGGATTTTAAAATCAACAAATATTTGTATCGGTATCGGCCTTCAAAATCCTTTATCGGTCGGGCTCTAGTGCAGATGACGTTATAGATCATATGTAAATTGAAAGATATCTCATTTACAGCTTTCCGTATGATTGATGAGCACAAAAAAAAAAAACTCACTGAAGTCGAAGCATATTGTGGTAGAAATGACAAATTCACTATTCACGTTTTCCGGTTGTACTTTAATTTAAAACTTATCGATCACAGTCTCGGTTAAAGGCACATTATTAGAGGCTACTTTCCTCAACTTCTTGTATAATAAACGTCAAGACAAATCGTCACACATTTGTAGAGGTGAATTAACTTCTCTAGCAAAACTGTGTCTTGCCCTGTGTTGTGTATCCCTTTTCTTTCGGTGCATCACTATATCCTAACTGATCCTAGTGCCAGTTATAGCGCCTGATAAAATAACACAGTCATCACCACACGTGTTTGTTTACTACGTATCTATTTCAATATTCAGTACTGGCCGTATGCCCATTTAGTGCTTCTACAACATGCTTCCTGTGCCGCTTCCTCATTTCTTTTCTCTCTCTGCATGCTTTTGAAGAGAACACACGCATTGTTTGAGTATTTTCTTATCATATGAGTGAAGCCTTAGGCCAGATTCATGCCCTGGACTAACGTATACAATCTCAAAAGCTCTTTGTGTTTATGTGTGTGTGTGTGTTGAACTTAAAAGAAAAAACTGGTTTAGTTAGGTGAATCAAACATGTAAATAAACCAATAAGACCTACCTAAGTCATTGAGCATCTTTCTGTTACAAAACACTGACAGCATGAGTAAGCTTATTTCAAAATTGCAAACATTGTAGTTTATGTTGCGTAATTGCTTGTTTCACACCATTTCAGGGAATATGAAGATATCCTGCCGACCAAACAGCTTGCAAAACACGTACCGTAGACCATTGTGGTGTGAAATCAGCAGGGAAACTTTGAAAAATTATCTTTTTGAAAAGAAAAGAAAAGAAAATTCACTGTGAACCATTATTATTGTGCTTGCCTTCGAAATTGTCATGCATCAAGATAATCTTGTAAGGTCATAAGATGATCTTGTCTAAACATCTTCTCATAAATGAATCAGTGATCTATATATTCCAATCTTTCTCCTCTCAGTTTAGTCAGCGGTTACAAATAAGACTAAGATTGTTAAATATGAGTCTTATGTAGTGGATAATGTCTAGTTTGACAGTTCAATTAAAAGCTAACATTCTTTCTTCGTTTACTTACCATGTTTCAAACACATCCAACTTCCTGTGGAACTACAGTAGATTGCAATGATAAGATTGAAAAGTTCCAAACTGAAGTCCACAGCGTCACTTACTGGGATTTTCACGCACAAACATTTCCAGGGTTTACAAAGAATGGTGTGAAAAGGGAAAAACATCCGTTATGCGGCAGTCCTGTGGGCGAAAATGCCTTGTTGATGCTAGAGGTCAAAGGAGAATGGGCCGACTGATTCAAGCTGATAGAAGAGCAACTTTGACTGAAATAACCACTCGTTACAACCGAGGTATGCAGCAAAGCATTTGTGAAGCCACAACACGCACAACCTTGAGGCAGATGGGCTACAACAGCAGAAGACCCCACCGGGTACCACTCTTCTCCACTACAAATAGTAAAAAGAGGCTACAATTTGCAAGAGCTCACCAAAATTGGACAGTTGAAGACTGGAAAAATGTTGCCTGGTCTGATGAGTCTGGATTTCTGTTGAGACATTCAGATGGTAGAGTCAGAATTTGGCGTAAACAGAATGAGAACATGGATCCATCATGCCTTGTGTCCACTGTGCAGGCTGGTGGTGGTGGTGTAATGGTGTGGGGGATGTTTTCTTGGCACGCTTTAGGCCCCTTAGTGCCAATTGGGCATCGTTTAAATGCCACAGCCTACCTGAGCATTGTTTCTGACCATGTCCATCCCTTTATGGGCACCATGTACCCATCCTCTGATGGCTACTTTAAGTAGGATAATGCACCATGTCTCAAAGCTCAAATCATTTCAATTTGGTTTCTCGACTGTACTAAAATGGCCCCCACAGTCACCAGATCTGAACCCAATAGAACATCTTTGGGATGTGGTGGAACGGGAGCTTGGATTTGCATCCCACAAATCTAACAATATGGGCCAACATTTCTAAAGAATGCTTTCAGCACCTTGTTGAATCAATGCCACGTAGAATTAAGGCAGTTCTGAAGGCAAGGGGGTCAAACACAGTATTAGTATGGTGTTCCTAATAATCCTTTAGGTGATTTCGGATGCACCACATTATATTATACTCATTCACTTAAGCAGCCTCATCATATACATGCGCCATAATCCACAAATGTTGTGGATTAGAACAGGGTCGCTCTCTCGCTTGCTCGATTTCCAGGATATCGTATAATTTGTGGGTGTCATGGAGTCGTTATCAATATACGGGAGACTCCCGGTGTAGTGCTGAATTTTGACTCCTTGCCAAATTATTTCCCCCCTCCTGGTTGCCTAATCCTAACCCCACACCTAATCAAAGGCTGCATCCGAAACTGCATGCTTCCCTACTATATAGACCAAAAAGAGTATCTGACAAATGTCCGAATTGACAGTGCTCATAAAAGAGTTGGCAAAAAGTACTATTTCCGGCGAGATTCGCTCACGGATGATTAAGTGGAGACTTTACTATCCCATGAGGCCACAGACAGGAGAGGATTTGAAAATAAGAGTGAAGCGACAGTAACTGACGCTGGTAGGTCACATGAAAATAACAGCATGGCGAATGTAGTATATCTGGATTACTTCATCAATTTAAAGTGTAAGTGTCCTTGCCTTCCATTGTTAGTTGCACTTGCTCTAGTTGTGTGTCCTCAATCTGGCAACCCGAATGAGCGTCGAGTCTGAGGCGAAGGGAGCATTGAAACAACTTGCCTAAATATTTAAATTCGGACTGCAGTACTCATTTCAACCACTAGCTGCCAATATTACATAATAGCGGCATAGGACAAAACTTCAGCACGCGTTTTAATAAACAGACCAATATATTTATCCGTTATCGTTCTCGGTTGTTCCTGGTTCTAACAGTAGTCCTAACAGGTTTTGAACAACATGAAGGTAAGTAAATAACAGAATCCTCATGTAAAATAGTTTTAATGCGAGTGAATTAGATATTACTGACAAAAACCCGACGAGCAAGATAATAACTCATATTTAAGGTATTTGAACGCAGTGTTTCGGACTTTTGACCCTTTGTATCATATAATGATTTTTGAAGTTATTATGTCCACCTTTTTCTTGAGAGTCGTCTGTGTTTTGAATAATGTGCAGACTAAGCACGTCAGGTTTGGGGAACTTCCACTAAAAAGAAGACAGAAACTCATCATTTCAAATCCCCTTTTCACTTCTTATCCCTATTAGGGACATAAAGAATAATAGTTATGTGTCAAAACAGAAAGCATTTTGAAATATTAATACTCAATGTTTTAGTTAATGAACATTGCGGTTACGGCAACGTGTTACTGTAGGCTACATACTTTAATATTGCTGCTTAAAGAATCTAGTTTTTAGGGTTATTCATGCTCTGATGAAGTACTTTTTTACACTTTTAAAAGTCCTTTTAATGTCGATGGTTGAAGGGTGAGTAGAATAATGTCATCTGATTGTACACAGTTTTTGAAAAAGCTTATTATTACACTCATAAAGCAAACCTTTTACCAGTTTACAGTTTAACGGAAGTTACTCCTATAATTCACACAAAGTATCATGGGACGCAGGAAAGCTGATGAAATATGCCACCAAGTCCAAAGGACCACTTCCAAACACAGCAAAGTTACCAATCTTTCTGCTTTATGCATCAGCAGTGTTAGTTTACACAATCTAAACACAGTTTATAGAACAAATTCTTAACCGTTAAGTCATGCTTGAGACTTTCACCAAATGGGTTTATTGGGATTATAAAACAAAAAAACAACAACACTATTTTGCATTAGTCAATCTACAACGGGTGAGAATAGTTTACAATTTCCACTTCTGATCTTTATATTTAACAGTCATATTTAAATCTATAGGCGGTAAGTTGTTTGGCACAAAGGAAGATAACAGGAAACATGACTCAACGTGAATATATGAAGAGTTCAGATGCAAAAGCCTCTAAATGCCATTTGAAATTTTCTTCTTTAAAGATGATTTTTATCAAACTTGTATATTTAAGTTCAGTAATTTCACTTAAATAACAATTAATAGGTAATTATCATTGCCATTTAAGTGAAATCACTGAACTTAAATATACAAGCTTGATAAAAATGAGAAGAAAATTTAAAATGGCACTTAGAGGCTTTTGCATCTGAACTCTTCATATGACACCTGCAAGGCAACTGTCTTGGCACATTTTAAAATTTGTTAACCATAAACATATACTTTACATCAGGGTATTAATATAAACACCCTTCTAATCAGGGGTGTAGAATTTAGTAGGGACGTGTCCCTACCAATATTCAGTGACACTGGTCCCTAGCAATAATTTCGACCAAAACTTAAAGTATATTGATGTCCCCATCCCCACCAATTTCAAAATCAAACCTACGCCACTGCTTCTAATATAATATGACAACAATTAGTTGGTCAAAGACACTTTGATTGAGAATTCCCCAAAACATCAGAATCATGCCGATTGCTGATTTCATGTTGAATTCTTTTAAATACTGTATATTATTGTGGTTTGAGGTCACTTTTAAGACTTTTTACTTGTCAGCTGTACACACACACACACACACACACACACACACACGTAGGCCTATGTAATAAAATAAAAAAATGTTGTGGTATATAGCGGTCACTTTTAATAATTTTTAGATGAAGAAACAAAATAAAAGTCCTACAACTTTATATTTTGGACATTAAAAAAAAATATAAGAAGTTCTTTAAAATCACCTATATATTAACTTTACAAACATAAGCAGACATTTGTCATATTTAGGATCAGACATTAATGAGGCAGGTTTTATGACAGACACATTTATCATATTTAAGCAAGTTTAAAGTTTGAGTCTGATCATTTGCATATACTTCACAGTATATGAATTTTAGACAAAACCCACAGACATAATTTACATTTTTGTGGTTGCGAGTCGCGACTAATGTGCTTTGCCAACAGAAGACTTTCTAGGCCCAAATATTTTGCTTTTAAAAACAGTGAGGTTACATTGACATATTGTCTCATCTTGTTAACACAGGAAGTGGGAAAAGGCAGCTTCAATGTGGTTCACCACTCATCACCGTGAAAGTAAATATTAATATATACAATTAATAACATGTTTTCTAGACTACATTATCAACAAAAACATGACTTTTCTCTGTTGGGAGGTATTCTGAAAACCACATATGTGATACTGACACTATAAGTCTTTACATACCCAGTTAAAAGACAATGCAATTAAATATACATTTTATATAATAACAATACGATAATTCTAGTCAAATTGATCCAATAGCGCGTGACGCTATTTAGCACGTATTTGAACATTTGAATGAGACTTTAAACAAAATTTATCCAATCATCTTTTTGTAATGCCGTTTAACCCTCTCATTGTATGAAATGAGTTCTGAAGTTCACACAGCTGTTCTGAGAGATGAAACACCGTAGATTAATCCCGTTTGACACCCAATGTGTCCAGATACATTCTGAAAACATCTGTTTATTGTTTTATAATTACTTTCCTTACCAAACTTCTAAGAGCACCGATTTGTTTTTTCTGAGTCCAAACTTCTGCGAATAAAACAAAGGTATACGTGAAAGAAAAAGATATTCAGTGCTTTTTCAAGGGAACGCATTGAAATACTTTTGTTTTTCATCATGACATGTCCCCTTAGGGTCTCCGTAGTATCTACTGTAGGCTCTATACGATTTCCAGCGACTCAAGACCTTTCCATCGTCCTGCTGAGAGAATACGTTCCCACATCCGTTTGTCTTTTCCCCTTTTCCTGCCAGAACGAGTCCAGGGAGAAATAGTAGATGAGCGGATCCAGACAGCAGTTGACACTCGCCAGGCAGATGAGCCCTCGTAAAATATTTGATACGTCGTCCTGTGTGTTTATTAAGAGTATTATAGTAAACGGCAGAAAAAATATAATAAACACCAACGTGTTGACTGCAAAAATCAGTATCACGTTCATTTTGTTGTTGATCTTGGCGTCGCCAGCGCTGGGACGCTTACTCAGTGCGATTATGACCATGACTGTGGAGACGATATTGACCACCAGCAGAATTAATATAAATATCGCCTGTGCAAGCGCGGAGGTTGTTGGTGGACCCTTGGAGAGCACTTGAAACTCGAAGCATGGTGTTTTGTTGGGGCACTCTTTCAGGTTGCTGTGAAGATTTATAATCTCCGGGATGCAAAGGATGGTGATGAGGATCCACACAGCCGCGCAGCACTTGCAGGCGCACGCGGTGGTTCGCAGAGACCGGGAGCGCAGAGGGAAGACCAGGGCGAACAGCCGGTCCAGGCTTATTAACGTGATGAAGATACTGCTCGTCCTGATGTTGATGCGAAACAGCAGGATGGCACCGGTGCACGTGCCCACTCCAAATGGCCACTTGAGCGTTGCGTAAAAGTAGACGCGCAGCGGCAGGGAGAGCACGAGGAGCAGGTCGGACACGGCGAGGTTCACCATGAGGACGGCGCATGGTGACCGGAGCCCGTGGCTGCGCAGGAGGATCCAAAGGGACACCGCGTTGAGGGGAAGACCCACGGCCAGAACCAGTCCATACACGACAGCCGACACCAAGAACCGGTTGGAAGGATCGAGGGCGCCAATGCACGAGTTGGTGAAGTTCCCAGACATGTTTCAGGCGTAGAGGAATCAGAAAGTATGGGTCGAAGTTTGCCGCTTAGTTTTTAATTGTCCTCTGGGTGGATTTTGAGATAATCAAGAGAAGAAATGAAACCACTATGAGGAAGGATGTAGATTAAGGTAAGGGGGTTTCTCCGCCTCTTTAGTGGTGGTTCCTAATTCACACGGTAAGTTCAAATTTTATATGAGGTAGGCTTGTGTATTGGTTACAAAAATGTGAACATTTCCATGTGTCGTCATCCTATGTGACTGTAATGTGTGTGTAAATGTAAATATATCGTAAATTACAATGTAAAGCGACCTTGAGCTACGGAAAGGCGCCATATAAAACGTCTTCTATGTGCCAAATGCTCAGGAAATTAACAATTCACTGACCTCATTTTGACCTTTTTTGGGTCATGTTGTCCCAATATGGCTTAAGATGTCTCATAGCCATTATCTATTGGCTTTAAGTAAAATTTAAACACTGAGAGAATTAGGCTAAACACGAAATAATAATAATAAAAAAAAACAGGAAAACGCAAAATGTGACAAAAAAAAAAGAATTGCATCTGGTAGGCTATTCTTGTTTTTCCTTTTTCTTTTTTTATGCTTTTCATTACTCCAATGCATGTATTTTTTTTTTGCAATGTGTTTAAATTAATATCCATTCATTTCGAATTGGGTTTAAGGTAACATTTTTTTTTTTTTATAGAGGCCTAGTCTACTTTGGTTTACTTTTGTAAAAAAAAGATATAACTAATTAAATCATCCATAATAAGGAGACACTTTCTGCTTCCCATAGTGATATTTGCCCTGTTTTATCACACCTGAAGTGAAATGAATGCAATATTTGTCAAATACACAGATGTTTATGATATGTTTTCATTCAATACTTTATGTACTGCTTAATACATCTTCTATTTGATCAAGAATAAAGTAACACATGCCTATACTATTTATTTAGCAATAAAGTGCTATTAATTCACCTGTACACACACAAACACACACAGAGGCATTGTCCTGTGTGTATACTTCACGTCTACCTACATACTCCTTTATACGCCATTTCTTCTGCCGAATATCAAATTATATTTGTTAATATAACCATAATGGTTAATTAACAGATGACTACATATCCCAACTTTATATTTAAGAGGAATAAACGTAACCAAACAGGTCGACGTTTCAGCTTTAAGATGAATGTATGTTAGTGTAGCTGTGCTCAAGCAAAAAAACACATTGAGCAAGAGAAGAGCACTGAGAGCCATTGTGACACCTAACACATTACCACATCTAAAAATGTCTTCTTGTGGGTTTATTTTACAGATTAGAATGATTTCTGTAGCCGTGCTGGAAATCATCTTAAGAAAGAAAGCTAAACAAATATGCATCAAATGGTAAACACATATATTATTAAAAACTGTTATTTATTGTAATAAATTACATGAGTATCAAACAAAGAGAGATGGTGACAACAGTCAGAAGTACAGGTCTGTGAATACATTTTGTAATTATAATATAAATTAGAGTCAAGCTACACTTCTGTAAAATGACTCAGTTACATTAAAGCAGCGTAATATTTTTAAATGATAAAATAGATATTCAGAGCACCTTTTTAGCTGCAGAACAAAACACATTCAGTCAGGGTTATGGCATTCAACTTGATTTGAAATAAAATACTAAAATGTAGCGTTTTGTCAAACTTCCCTGCCATAAAACAAGACACTCCCTGTCAATTGCATTTAACCTTTACCCACTCATAACACATTTATTTGCACATTTTCAATCAAATGCTTCTGCTTTAGAACGGGAACCTTTGACATCAACTTAAACTGTATTCTGTGGCAGGAAGATAGCGTTAAAGTTAACCATTTCTTATAACGTGAGCACTGTCACTGAATTGGCTTTATGTGAGCTATAAATATCTTGTTGGCTGACAAGCTATGGAAATCCTTGAAGAAGAACTTCGTCCTCTGCTGGTGAGAAGAGGAACAGAGTTTGGACCAATCAAGTCAACAAAACAGGTGATGTATTCCTTACATAATCAGGTTTTCAAAATACTGTCTTTGATTAAATATGTATTTAATTGCATGGTATTTTATATTTTGCACAAGCAAAATGTAATCTACAATTAGGACTTTGTTATTTACTTTTTATTAAATGTTTTTGCATTGTGGACATTTTCAGAACAAATTAAAGGTGCAGTATGTAATATTAACAGCTAGTGGTGGAAATGGGTACTGCAGTCCAAATAAATAAATAGAGTTGTTTCCCACCCCCTCCTCTTTGGTGTTGATGCTCATGTGGGTTGCCAGATTGAGGACATGATCTGTGATCTCTGATCCAGTTTGTTTGCAGACCTTGCAGCAATTCCCAGTGTTTCCCTCCAATTGGCAACCCACGGTGTCGAAACACTATTGGGTAAATAGGAAGTGGGCGGGATCAAACAGCCCAAAACAAAAACAGACATTCCCACATGGAAATTGAATTCCAAATAACACTTGCTTTTGGTGTATAAATATAAAAAAAAAACAATAATTTCGAATTATTTTTCTAATATTTCTGGTAATTTTACTGTTACAGTAAATATGAAGGAAACTTTTTTATTTTGTATTACAGTAATGCGAATTGGAGGGTCAAATTAGCCTCATTGTTTAGAAAATAATGTCACAATGCAAAAAAATAAACTAGAGAGTACCAATATAGTAATATACATAAAACATGTAAATATTCTTTTATTTTTAAAATGAAACATTTGGGGATAAAATGTGACCCGGACACCTTTCTTTCATGTAAACATAAAATTCACTCCAAAATATTGTATACCATGGCTCAAAAAAGCTGTAAGTGTTATGTGATTTAAAACAAATTGATAATAATAATAAAAAAAAAAAATACAGCTAAATTTTGTTTTAAAAAATGCACTTACGTTTTACACTTATTAATTTAGCTGACGCTTTTATCCAAAGCGACTTAATTGCTATATATTTCAGCGGTCGCACGCCTCTGGAACAACTAGGGGTTAAAGGGTTAGTTCACCCAAAAATGAAAATTAAGTCATTAATTACTCACCCCCATGCTGTACCAACCCCGTAAGACCTTCGTTCGTCTTCGGAACACAAATGAAGATATTTTTGATTAAATTTGAGAGCTGTATAACTACCACATAGGCTTCTAAGGGACTGGCTCTTGACGGCCCAGAAAGTCAATGAAGAAAATGTTTAAATATCCCAAGTGACTACCGTGGCTCAACTATATGTTTATCAAGCGACGAGAATACTTTTTGTGCAAAAAAACAAACAAAAATAACGAGTTTATTCGACTATTCCTTTTCTTCCTTGTAGGCCAGAAACGAGACTTCCTTAGATTTCCACGACGCATGCGCGAGAATTGCGATCTCTTTACACTACTGATCAGTTCAGTTCTCACGCATGCGTCGTCACACCAAAGGCATGTGTCTTATCCTGCGCCATCAACACCACCACTTATGTCACATGTTCACACATCCTTTGTGTATACAGTAGTTCCCATCCACCAACACACTCAGCTCATCTACACATACTGTCTCCTTCGCTGTGTTACTGTAGGATTAATCATCCAGAGTTCAGTCTTCCTGAATTTGCTATAAGTCTTTACGTAAAACCAGCAGCCACACATATATCCATGTTCTCAGTGTCTTTGGACGAACCATTATGCGTTTCACTGAATAACGCGTGATTCGTTGAACGCATGCGCGTCTCTCTGACGTATATAGCCATTCTCCTATCTCGCTTTATAGACTCCAGGTTCTCTTTAAGAATGAAGTAGTAACAAGCGCCATCTGCCAGAATGTTCACGTTGCTAATACATATGCTTATGTGCACAAAATAGCGCAGATGATCGATGCTGGATGAGTTGGCGTCGATGCGTGTCTTGGCATGGAAGTACATCAGCACCGCAATGTGGTATGGAATGAAGCATGTGAGAAACACCACCAGGTTGCTGAGGACGATCTTCATGCTCTTGTTGTTGCGCAGTTTGGCATCGCCTGGATTGCGTGTCCTCAGGGCGTGCAGAATCTGCACCACGCGCACGGAACAGAACACCATCAACAAGGCGCTGCAGCAAAACACCGTCTCCATTGAGACCAGAATCCAACTTTTGGACCAAGTATTGTTGGAGAACTGCTGGAAGCAGAAAGTGTTGTTTTGACCGTCGTGAAGTTTGTAGATGGGGGCGCTGAATCCAAAGACCACCATCCACACGACCAGACACACGAGCATCGCCTTGCGCGGAGAACGCAAATGAAGCGCAGCAAACGGAAACCGAAGAGCGATGTAGCGGTCGACCGCGATGCACATGCTCAGCATGATGCTGCCGTAGATGTTGACGTAGAGCAGGCTCTCGAGCAGGGAGCAGAAGGTATTGCCAAGAGTCCATAGCTTCTTGTACGCGTGTATCTTGAAGGGCAGCGACACAATCAGCAGGCCGTCGTTGATGATCAGGTTGATGAGGTAAACCGTGGATTCGCTGAATCGGCGAACACGGAAGAGCAGCAGCCACAGAGCGGCCAGGTTCAGAGGGAGGCCGAAGACCAGAATGGGCACATACACCCACCACTGAACCCAGCACACCCAGTCACAGTCAACTGCTATGGAGGAAGAAAACGAGAGGTTAGTATCCCAGCTAGCTTCGGCTAATGTTCTTGCTAGTTAAGAACAAACGTTCTTCTAGTAACATTAATATAACTTTTGTTCAAATTCATCTGGTCTTTAAAGGGATACTCCACCGGGTTTTCATATTAAACTATGTTATTCCCTTAATTAAGACGAGCTGATGCATACCTCTCTCGTCTCAGTGCGTGCACTATATCGCTCTGTACTGCCGCAAAACTATGTTAGCACTTAGCTTAGCCCAGTGCATTAAATATGGGCCAAAAAGAGAAGCGACCAAACACTTCCTCCTTTTCCCTATTTAAACACAGTTACTCGATTAGTGTAACTCGACCTAGGCTGGTGACACAAAATAAAACGTGTTTTTCTAAGCGTTTAAAATTGATGACTATATTGTTTGGCGGAATACCATAAAAAAGTGCTTTAGAGCACTTCAACTTGGCGCAATAATACCTTCACTCGTGAAAAGTCCTCTTACCGGCTCCCGCTTCCTCGCTCTCCCCCTCCCTCTTATTTCCGTCAATGCAGCCAACGTGACATGCGACAAAGCGGGAGCCAGTAAGAGGACTTTTCACCAGTGAAGGTATTATTGCGCCAAGTTGAAGTGCTCTTATGGTATTCCGCCATACAATATAGTCATCAATTTTAAACGCTTAGAAAAACACAACGTTTTATTTTGTGTCACCAGCCTAGG